CAGCCGACCAACTCGACCGGAGAGAGTATCACCGTGGAATCGGGTTCGATCGACCTCGGGATTAGTTGCCACTGTGCTTACACTGTGCGCGGATATAAATTCATCTTGGCGGGATATAAAAACGGGAAGGAAAAGTATCGATCGGCCGGCCNCCGCCGCAGGTCAAGAGGTCGGCGCCCAAGTTTCTCTTGGACATATACAAGAACGCTCTTGGCGAGGACGAGGACGAGAAGCCGATCGGCGAGCAGCAACGTAGGGCCGGCGAGTTCGACCTCACCGGTCAGGATCTCAGGGCCATCGACCAGAGCGACGTCATCATGACCTTTGCCGCGCACAGTAAGTCATTATTCCGTTTCTTTATTCCCTCTCTTTCTCTTTCTCCGTATACGTGTACCACGTATATATATATATATACACATAACACCGGTATATATATATATATATATATATGTATATGTATATGTATATGTATATATATATATATACATATTCGAACTTACTCGACAACACGGTCGAGGATGGTTTGAAGCACGTTTGGACCGAGTGGTACGGAGAATCCGCAGACTCGGTGATCGTCTCGTTCCAAAATGATCCGAAGATGAGATCGTACACATTTTCTTTTCGCGGCAAAATGAAAAAAAGAAGAAAAAGAAACTGTGGCTGGTTCGATCGTCGTACGTTTCGACTCGTGACGATGAATAATCCATACGCGTGCGTATTACACTCGCGCTCGCGATATTGCGCGCTCGTTCCTTCGTGTCGCGTCGCGTTTACGCGTCTCGATCGTCATTATCACTGTTGCTCGTCGCGTACGTACGTACGTTAGTACGTAAGTTTACTCTTGTGCATCTGCATAACGTACAATACGCGCACTGTGAGAGAAGAAGAATCTGCGGGAGAAGGAGGGGAGACGTGACGTTTGTCGTCGGCGACGACGTCGTCGTTTCAATGCTCGAGATATTGGCTCGAGATGACGTCTCTGTTTCGCTGGATCGCGATTCCGACTACACCGTCCGGAATCCATCAGAATCGGCCAGAACGAATTCTTTCTCTCTCTCTCTCTCTCTCTCTCTGCTCCTCATCCTCCTCTCTCTTTCTCTCTCTCTCTCTCTCTCTCTCTGCTCCTCAGCCCCCGCTCTCTTTCTCTCTCTCTCTCTCTCTCTCTCTGGCTCGGAGGTTAACAGGTTCCGCGAACGCGTTTCCCGATGGCATGCGTCTAGTTTGCGCGCCGCGCGGGCTGCCGTCCAGAGATCCGTCGATTTTCATTTCACGCAGGGACATGATTCTTGTTCTTGGACCGACACGTTTCTAATCCGTGTTTCGCGAGCGGATCACGTTCGCGGCGAATCGATTTGTATTTTTTTTTTTTTTGGTTGGATTTTTTTTTGTTTTTGTAGCTCGTATATAGCTATCGAGAACGATTACGGGTTGGAAAAGTTGGGAAAATTACGTTTTAATTGGCGAAAGTGATCGTTCCGATTCGATTGTTGTTAACGTTCGAGGGGTTGTTGAGTTTTAAATATTCAGGATTTAATTAACTCGTTTCGCTTTTAACACACGCCAGGGATGAAGCAATGATCTATTTTATCTCGATTTCGAGGAGACAATATATTTCCATCCAGATGTTTTGCCGTCTTTTCATGCGCGCAGGGGAAAATACGTTCGAGTGACAAATGGATCGCGTTTTATCGATAATATCGTAAATTCGGTGGAACGTGGAACCTCGTGTCGAAAAAGTTAAAACGACGGAGAGCTGTCTCGTCCGGGCGAAAAAAAGGTAGAAAAAGAAAAGAAGNAAAAGAGAGAGAGAGAGAGAGAGAGAGAGAGAGAGAGAGAGAGAGAGAGAAATGGTGGAATTGGTGCGAGAACTGGTTTCTTAATCGTCGGATTTGAATTCAGAGATACTTTGAAAATGTTTTCAGCACCGATCGATATAATTAACACACTTGTATGAGTTTACTTGGGGATTATAAATCGCTTTACCAACTGGATTCTACCGGTTTAGAAGCAGTTCTCGTGGGTGTGAGCATTCTGCGGCAAGGAATGCTCGTCTAGCGTTTCTTCGGTGACTTTGGCAGATCCTCCGCTCGATTCTCGAATATCGTTCAACCGAACAACCCGATCACCGCTATATCCGAACACTCCAACATTCGAAATCTTCTTTTCCCATTCGATTTTAAGAGGAAACCCAAGCTTTTTTCCCCTTCCCTTTCTCCGATTCGAAATATTACGAATTATTATGGTAGGAAATTTTCGGAGATTAGCGATTAAGAGGAGAGCATATATACAGAGGAAACGTCGAAGATACATTGCGAGCGATATCTCGCGAGAAATGGATATCACGATTGATCGTAAGTAGATCTCTCACGAGTTTAAAAGTGGAACGTCGATTTCCGTGGTTATTCTGCGGGTTGCTGCTCGTCCCGGTAATATCAGCGAACGGACAGTAAATCGATCCGTGTCCCGTGAAAAAAAATCGCGAGATAATCGCGCTTTTTTACCTTACCTAATTGCTATTATTTATACAAAAACGGGGGAAAAGATCGTTGGATCATTTTTAAACTTATCGGTCGATCGAAAGAAACGAGCGAAGAAGAAACGAGAATTTCCATTCTTCTCAGTTTGCGTTCAGATTTCAGAAACGCGAACCTGTTTCTCGCGAATCGCGCTGTGCTTCCGCATGCATATTCATCGGAGAGACGGAGCGTAATAAAATTTGAAGCCGTGTCGATTTCTACGAAATCGTGACGTCACGCGAAAAACCGTACAATTCCAATCCGAGAGTTTACGAATCGAGGAAAAAACGCGTCTCCTCTTAAAGTTAAAGTGTCACGGAATTCTTTCCAACAAACGCCCTCCCCTCCTCCCCTCCCCTCGCACTTACTCCGACACACTTACTCCCCGACTCGAATTCACGCTCGTTCTATGACGAAAGAAGGAAGATCGTTCGTGATCGATCGANCTCTCTCTCTCTCTCTCTCTCTCTCTCTCTCTCTCTCTCTCGAATTTTTACGCTTTCTCCAAAATTTCTCGCACGACGGATGGATAGATTGACTTTTCCCGATGATAACGAAATCCCCCTCCTCGACGGACGGCGGCGAGTTCTCTCTCCGAGTTCTCTCTCTCCGTCCGGAGAATCTTCGAGATTCGGACGATTACGGAAAGCCGGAACGGGCCGGTGGAAACTTTCTATTCGGCCAGATATTTCCCGCAAGGTTCAACCAGCTGACGCGGACCGACCGCCCATCGTGAATTCTTCCAACGAGCCCCCGGACATAACTCTTCGATTATGTCACGCTTTGCTTCAGCTGCGATCGAGATCGGCGAGATCGGATATTCTTCTTGAAAATCGTCCGGCTCGCGTATCGCGTTCGTACTATCGCGCGCGGTGGAAGGCGGTTTCCACTTTCGTTGCCGTCCACTTATGCAAATAAAGTCGCCCTCCCCGTCGTGGCAAACTTTCTACTCGAACGGAATCTCTTTTCGTCGCCTCTCGTTTTATCGTTTCTTTCTTTCTTTCTTTCTTTCTTTCTTTCTTTTCTTTTTTTTCTTTTTTCTCTCTCTTTTTTTTTCTTTTTTCTCTCTCTTTTTTTTTCTTTTTTTTTTTTTTACCCCCTCCCTCCTCTCCTTGCTTTTACACGTATTACGAACTAGTACCGTGAATTCTTCTAGAAAGTTCGAGGAAGATAAATTACAAGGACACGACGAACCACGTTCCCGATGTGTGAAATCAGACGGGGAGACGTGTCAGGCCGGTTATAGCGGATTCGTGATCACGAAAACGATCCGAGTCAATCGAGGCTAACGCGTGAAATTGCCACGTTTCTGGTCCGCTTTTATTAGGGGACCAGGGGGCATCCTGCGCTCGATTTAAACGTTCTCTGTTCGCCGTACTGGATTCGGATCGTTCTTCTTCCAGTGTCGTTTTTTCGCCTTTTATTATTCGAATGGAGTGAGAGAGTGTGTATATGTGTGTTTGTGTGTGTATCTATGATTCGATTCGATTCCATTCGATTCCATTCGATTCGATTCGATTCGATCGATGATTAACCGAATCTTAGTAATTTCTTTTCTTCTTTTTCTTCTTCATTGATATTTTTATTCGTAATCTCGAAAATGGAATAATTCCGTTGTCTATTATCATTCTTGATCCCCCTTCTTCGAATCACATAAAAGAAACGAGAAAGAGAGAATTTGAATCCGGCGAACAAGGAATGAAGAGAGTCGCGAGATTCGTACACACCTCGATAATCCTTCTAAATTTAATCTTTCTAATACGATGTTTGTTCTCTCCGTGTCTGAACTCAATTATACACCTATTCAGTTGACAATTGCAACAAAAAGAAGGTATCTCCGGTTCTTTGATATGATACTTTGAAACGCGCTTTCATTTACAGAATACTCGCTTCATTTAAAGAAAAGCGTGAACCCGAAGAATCGGCGATTCTCGTCCAATTCTTGAAAGCGGAAGGAAAGAAAATCGACAAAGTAACGAAAGATTCGATCGAATATTTCGAATAAATATCCTATTAAAATTGGCCCTCGACATCGATCATCTCTTCATTTCCTCCCCTCTCCTCTCCAAGAGTGGAAAAACATTGTCCGCGTTGCGGGCAAGAAATTTATTCGTACGGGATAAATCTCGGGGTCGGGATATATATTCGGTTCAACGAACCTCGGAAAAGGGGGAATCCCCTGTGGTAGCGGCTCGGAGGAGGAGTGTTCCTCCTTTCTCGAAACATGGAGGAACAGAGGCATCGTAAATTGTTCCGCGATCGTGACGCGAGTCGAGGAATGGTAATTCGCGACCAACAGGCGAAGGGCAGGACATTTTCTTCAGGAATTCGTATCCTCCTGTCTTTCTGTTATTCAGAATTTTCCCCCGCGTGGAAGAAACTCGCGCGAGAAGAAATAGAGAAGCCGTTTCGAACCCGAACAAAGATTTGGATGAAAATTAATCGACGATTGTTCGATCAGCTATTGAAGAAGGATGGAAAAAATATAGGATTACTGTAATTTATTCGATTCACATTTTAAGGGATACTTAAAGGGAAAGAAGAGATAATATAGCGATAAAGATCGTTGAACGAATGAAGGCGAAACGAATTTCTATCCAATTTTCATTATCGATTAATTACGAAAATAATTCATTTGCATATAAATATCTATATTATAACTTATACGCGGTTATATTTTCGAAATCGTTACGAAAAATTAAAGTTACGAAAAAAAAAAAAAGAACGAATTTCCATCCAAATCTTACTCCATTGTCAATTAACTATGAAAACATGGATGGATGCATTTGCATAAATATCCGTGTGTCTATTTATAACTTA